GCACTGACACCCTTACAAAGGTTGAGACTGCTGCCTGTTTTCTCCATAAATAGAAGGAACATAGCAGCTAAGCCGAAGTTTGAAACCCAGCTCCTTGGGCAGATAGCTTCAGCCCTCCCTGTGCCTCAGTTCTGTCACATAAAATGAAGTAGTAATGGAACTGCCATCCACTGGCTATAGTGCAGTGAAGATTGTCTATGGAGAGGGTTAAAGATAAGTGCCTGGATCGTAGGTAGGCACCGTGTAGTGGATCAGGCATTTGGCTGCTAATCGGAAGGTCAGTGGTTCAAACTCAGCAGCTGCTCCGTGGAAGGAAGATGGCGCAGTCTACTCTTCTGTAAAAATTTACAGCCTTGGAAACCCAGTGGGGGTCGCTAGGAGTCAGAGTCACCTCGACAGCAGTGAGTTACTACTAGTGATACTGTAGCTCTCTTAATGAATTGTTCTGTAGTGGACGCACCCAGGAATAGACACTGGTCCAGCAGTTCGTCCACGTGCAGTCCAGGGACACTGATGATGCCCTTCGAGCCGTGCAGCCGTTCCCACTCTCGCTTCTGAGCTGCTCTTCCCCATTGACATGGACTCGCTGCCCCCGAGGTTCTGTCTGACCTGTGGAGTCGCCGTTACCAGTCCAACCCCATAGAGATAGCTCCTCAAAGAGCACAGTGCTCATGGCGGACAGTCTTTACTACTTAACCTAAACTGTTGTTTGGCTCCAAGATGTCGGGTTATTTATTTATTATTTTTATTGTGATTTTTATTGTTACTTGGGTGAGAGTTTACAGAGCAAATTCATCTTCTGTGCAGCAGCTCACATACACTTTGTCTCGTGATGTTGACTGCAATTTCCCACAGTGCAGCAGCTCCCTTCCCACTTCCTCTCCATAGTTACCTCTTCCCTGTGTCCTTCCTTCTCATATACTCCTGCCCCCCACGCTGTCTCCCTGTACATACACAGCCCTTCTGTTCTCCCAGGATTGATCTCTCCAGAGTGTATCTACCTAATGTAAATGTTCAGCTCATATGCCCGTCTTTTGTTTGGGTGGAAGCCACAGGAGTGGGTTCAGTTCCCGACCTGAAGAGCAAAGCAGCTAGGGGCCCTAGTCTCAGGAGTTCTACCAGGCTCTACGAGACAAGCAAACCTGGTCCTTTAGTTTTGTTTTTGTTTTAAATGATTCTGAGTTTTGTTCCACATTGTTCTCCCACTCTGTCCAGGATCTCCTACATAGATTCCCCTCTGAGTGGTTGGCGTTGGCACCATCTAGCTCTTCTGGTTTCATAGTCATATAGGCTAAGAATCGCATGGTGTACCAGTCACTTAGACTCATGGTTTTCACGTGTCTTTGGTTTTCTTCATTCTTTGCTCTGGACTAGGAGAGACCCATCGCTGCATCTAGATGGCCGCTTACAAGCTCTTAAGATCCCAGTCACTACTTGCCAAAGTAGGAAGTGGAAAAAGGTTTAGTATCGTATGTTATGCCAGTTGAGCTTGGTGTCCCTGTGACTGTGATCCTGAGCCCACAGGTACAGCTACTCGCTCCAGAGGTCATTTTTAGATGAAGGTTTAAAGATGATCTCAGGATAGTAGTTTCTGGGGTTCATCTGCAAAAATTGGCTTCTGTGAGAAGTTGAAATTCTGTTCTGCATGTTCTCCTTTTTGATCAGGACTTTTCTTTAGAATCTTTGATCACGGTGTTCAGTAATGGTAGCTAGGCACCATCCAGATCTTCTGGTCTCGTGTTCATGGAGGTAGTCAGTCAGCCACACATTCCATATCTCCTCCTCCTCCCGACCTTCTTTCTTCCTCTGTTGCTCCAAGAGAATAGAGACCAATTGTGCCTCGGATGGCTGCTTGCAAGATTTCGAGACCCCAGGCACTATGCAGGGAACTAGGCAAGAGCAGAAGCACTAAGGCACCTCATTAGGCCAGTTAACTGGGATATCCCGGGAAACCATGACCCTGAAGCGCCAAGACACCAAAGCCAATGAGGTGTCTGGCTGTACCTAAGTGCCTTAGCAGCTGCTTATTGTTGTTGTTGTTGTTACAGTAAATAACATTTGTGTTAGACTGGGTTCTCTAGAGAAACATAAACCAGCAAAGCTTATATATATGTAAAGAGAGAGAGAAATTTATCTTAGGAAAATGGCTCACAAACTTATAGAAGCCGGCAAGTCCAAAGACCCTGGAGCAAACTTCAGCCTAGAGGCTTTTCACCGCAGGGGCCGAGAAGTTCAAGGCTGGCAGGCAGTATACCGGCTGTTGACTCCAACGAATGACAAATCCAAGATCTCCAGGCTGAACGGTGGACTGCTCTGCTCACTCACGGACAGTTGTAGGCAGCACAACAGAATCCCGATCCACAGAAGAATGTCTCTCTTCCCAGGATGTCACTGGATGTCCTGGAAGCAGGCCACACCCCTAGGGAAACTCCCCTTGAACAGATTGGCCACTCAGAACACAGTCATCCGATCCCATCATGGGAACAACCACACAGAACTGGGGCCCAGCCAAGTTGACACACAGTTCCAACTATCACAACATTGATCACACAGCTTCTGCCAATTCTGCTTTTTACTGGTGTACAGCAGAAGTGAGGTCATATATATGTGACTGTTACTAACTGTTGCCTGATCTGGGATAATGTTTAGTTTGTAAAACTTCTCTGTCCCGCCCTTGTTTTCTCTTCTTAATTTGCTTATCCTTTGGCATTTTCTGCCACTGCCTTAAAATAAGTAAAATGTCATTTTTAAGCTGTGAAAAGTAGAAATTGTAAGGCCATTGACATGACACAATTTTTTTAATTAAAAAAATTTTTTTAAGTACTTGTTCTTTGGTGGTAAATATTTATGTAACAAAATCATTTGCTGTTTCAACATTCTTCACTTACACAGTTCAGTGACATTAAGTCACTTTAACATCATCTATTCCCACATTTTTCTATCGCCCTTAACAGAAGCTCAGTGTCTCCTCAGACATGCTGTTGCTGTTACGTGCATTGAGTTGGTTCTGGCTCACAGTGACCCTGCGTACAACAGAGCAGACTTCCGCTCAGTCCTGTGCCGTCTCATAATCGTTGCTGTGTGGCAGCCTGTTGTTGCAGCCGCTGTGTCAGTCCACCTCATTGAGGGTCATCTTCTTTTTCACTAACCCTCTACTTTACCAAGCCAGGTGCCCTTCCCCAGGACTGGTCCCTCCTGACAGCGTGTCCAAATTACATGAGATGAAGTCTCACCGTCCTGCCTTCTAAAGAGCATTCTGGCTGACTTCTTCCAAGACAGATTTGTTCATGCTTTTGGCTGTCCATGGTATATTCAATATTCTTTGCCAATACCATAATTCAAAGGCATCGGTTCTTCTGTGGTCTTCCTTATTCATTGTCCAGCTGTTGCATGCGTATGAGGCAATTAAAAATACAATGGTTTGCCTCAGGTGCACTTTAGTCTTCAAAGTGACATCTTGACTCTTTCACACTTTAAAGAGATTTTTTGCAGTAGATATGCCCAGTATAGTACATCCTTTGATTTCTTGACTACTGCTTTCATGGGCTTTGATGGTAGATCCAAGTAAAATGAAATCCTTGACAACGTCAATCTTAATGTCACGCTCTTCTCCATATAGTCCAGCTTCTCAGAGTATTTGCTCAGCATACAGATTGAATAAGTATGGGGGAAGGATACAACCCTGACATACACCTTTCCTGATTTGAAACCATGCAGTATCCCCTTGTTCTATTTGAACACCTGCCTCTTGATCCATTTGTAGGTTCCTCATGAACCCAATTAAGTGTTCTGGAACTGTTTTACAATGTTACTGGAATGCCTTTGCATAATCAATAAAAAACAGGTAAATATCTTCTCTGGTATCTTGGCTGAAGCCAAGATCCATCTGACATTAGCAATTGTCTCCCTTATTCCACATCCTCTTCTGAGTCTGGCTTTTAAAAAGATACAGCTTTTTAAATATTCTCCTGCATGCATGCTGTGCATAGTCGTAAATCTGGAGAACATGCCACTTGGGGCCTACTCCACCCAGCAGTAGAGTGTAAGCATGTAAGCATTGCCCTCTGCTTCTTCAAACCAAAACAGACAGAACATGCGTAGTTTTCCCTCCAGAAGCAGAAGTGTTTTCTATAAAACATGAAATGTGTGCAGAGGAACTAGAGTGGAGCGAGAAATGGAGGCCCCAGGGTCCCACAGGTCACCGTCTGCTCATTGAGAAACAGCAGAGGGAAGTTACAGCCCCTCTGAAGTTTGAGGAAAGTGGGGGTTCTTTACCACTCAGGTGTTCAGGGCATGGCTCCTCTGTAGAAGCTGTGTTACTGCAGGGTTTTGGTTGGTTTTGCTCTCCGTGTGTGTAGATGTCACCTGGTATCCTGAGCACCTTGTAGTGATTCTGGCAAGAAGGCAGTTACGGATATTGATTACAACATGTATTGATAAATGCAGTATGTTGATACTCTCCTGTGTTCTGGTTCTTCACCGTTGTCAGCGGTCAAGATCATCTCTTATCTCACCATCCAGAAATGGGTTATATTTGCCTCCATAAAGAACTGTGAGGATTGAGTTGTCAAGTCCTATAAAAGTGTGTTCAGTTCATTTGGGGGCTGGGGCTTAAACACTTTGCAGAATGTGAATTTTGAATGTGGTGGAACACAGCTGTGTGAAATTAACTGCCTCTTTCTAGGGGGTAGAGTTGCTCAGGTGTTGGGTACACAGTTTAATTAAAATAGGAAGGTGGAATCAATTAGACATTCAAAATGAATATCAGGTACACAGTTACCTGGTTCTTCAAATTAAAATTTTAAAATTAGTATGGAAAGGAATGTATAATACAGGTCACATGTAGTGAAGCAGACTTCATGGAAAAGATGTATGCATGTTAGAAATCTTCAAAGGTAAGAAGCGTTAACTACTAAACTGAAGCGAAATCTAGACCTCAGCTGGATCTGAGATGCACCTGCATGTTTCCAAGCATGACAGGTTTCTGTTTGTTTTTTCAGATCTTACCAATATATTTGAGTCCTTCCTGCCCCAGTTGTTGGCCTACCCTAACCCCATAGACCCTCTCAACGGTGATGCTGCAGCCATGTACCTCCACCGACCAGAAGAATACAAGCAGAAAATTAAAGGTAAGAAGGCACACAGTACAACGTGGATTTAAACCTCTTGGGTTTTGGTCATTACAAGTCCTTCTTAAGTTCCTGATCTTTTCTTTCAGACATAATAAGAGACAGTGTGTGATGTGGAGCGAAGCTCACTAGTTGCTGTTATTCCAGGGTCCTGCTGCAGCTCCGAGATGTCCGTAGAGGGCCCAGGGGTGCAGGCAGGGAAGCAGGAAAGGAGTGAGGAAGGGAGGAGACCCCCTGTTGACTAGCGATAGTAACAAATGTGACCCTGCCAGTTGTGCCTGGGACACCCAGAGCAGAGAGCTTCTGTCCTGCTTTGCTTTCACTTGTAAGATTAGAAAATGTGACTTGTCAGTAAAGTATTGATTGAAAGACATGGTGTCATATTTGTTTTCAGATAAGAATCACCGTGGCCTTTCAGGAAGGCAGTCGGCGTTAGTCGTTGTATAATTGCTGAATTCATCGTTAGACTTTCTATTTCATTTTAGCTCTTGAATTAAAAATTCCAACTGGCTTCTTTTCTTGCTCCCCTGGCTGGCTGGCTTCTCACTGTGGGAAGCTCATAGCCACCTGTTTCCTCCTCCACCACAGATAGCGGGCCTTGGTCTGATGCGGGTTTTCTGTTAAAAGTCCAGATGTGCTGTTACTGTTGGAAATGTGCTAGTGGTGGTAGCACTGGTTTGCTCATCCTCTCGGATCTAGAATCCTCTTTCCCCAGTCATGGGCAGTTTGCGTATTAACGGGACTTGGATTTCATTAACACAAAAAGAAGGTTGAGGAAGAACATCCCAAGCACCACACCAGTTTACTGGAGTTTGTGGTGTCCTTTCTACTTCATGTACGTTGGAGAACTTTCATACTGAAAAATCTAGACAAATAGAGCACCACCAAAAAGGGAAGAAATTCAGTTCATGAAAATCAGCATTATGCTTGTTAACAAACCCTACACCGTGTTTTAACTTCACCTGCCCATCTGCACAGCGGCCCAGAACACCAGGGGCCATAGGATGTGGGGCCCCTCAGAACATTTGCACAAGATGGCAGTGGAGGTAATTTATCAGAGCTTAGGCACACAGACCTTCCTTCTTAGCCATCTAGGTATAAGACATACGGTAGCATTTGGAGCTATTTGGACTCAATAGTTCCCTTGTGTATTTTCTCATCCTTCCCAGGTCTCTGTAGGATATGGTTTGAAGCTATTGTTGAGATAAATTAGAAGTACATTAAGTCTGGGAGCTCTGGTAGCATGGTGCCTAATGCACTTAACTGCTAACCAGAAGGCTGGGGGTTCAAACCCGCCAGCCACTCCTGGGAAGGAAGGTTGGACAGTCTACTTCTGTAGTGATACTGCCTTGGAAACCCAAGGAGGGGTCGCTATGAGTTGGGGCCAACTCAACGGCACATAACAACGACAGCAGCAGCAATCAAGTCTAATCAGTTTACTTAGGTTGCAAGTGCTTTGCAAATTAGTATCTAATTTATGTAGCAGAATATCTACATAGCTAAATAATACATAATAATACATATATTACATATAATAATATATAATAAATAAATACATATTTCAAGAAAAAGGCAAGTCACTTTCAACCAGATAAAATTCTATATCAAGACTATTGAACTCCGGGCACAGGAATCACTTCCCAGTGTCTGGTGATCCACAGATGTCCAGGTGCACAGTATCCCTCTGGTTCTCGTACACATTATGCTTCAGCAGTTTAGTGCCCATTGTGGAAGGAGCCAGCCTGCACTGTGGTCTCAGAATGGCTGCTCGAGCTTAGGGAGCCCTGCACTTCCTGCATCATGAATGGCAGCTGTCATCTTGTCTCCTTAGTAATCTTAGAAAATCTTGGTCATCAGACCTGAGTTCACCTTACTGTATGTGTGTTTTTTCTCCTTGCCTGTCTGTTCTTTGTTCCCTTTGGCAAGAAATTAGAGATGCCCCACCTTATTTCCCTCACCAGCCTGTGGTCTTCCTCCTCCTCCTGGTGGGCACCATTAGGCCTCAGGCTGACCATTTCCTTTCACTTTCAGACCTCTGGCTCCTCGCCTTCACTTGCCAAAGTCTCGTTTGTTCCCCCCACCCCCCCTGTACTGCAGCTGTCATCCTTGTTACTTCCAGGTCCTTTGGTACCTTCCCAAGACCTTTTGCCTGACCTCTGTGTAGTTCTGGCGCTTGAGCCCTGCCATTAGCAGACTTTTCTCACTCTCTGTGATTGTGGCCTAGGCTTCGCAGCCCCTCCCCGCTCCTTGGGGGCGCATTCACCCCTCACAGCTTTAGGTGTCCCTTCCAGGGAGATGATTCCCAAAGCCTGCCCCACCCCTCTCCCTGGATCCCTCCGTCTCTTCCCTTTGTGTGGCGGTCACTACAACTCAAGCACCCGTGTCCTCTTACCGGACTGAAGACAGGAGTGAATTGCCACTGCATTTAGCCAGTGCATGTTGAGGACACTGGACGCCTGCAGAACTGGGCACCATTGGAACTATCTAACACTGTGTCATTTGCTGCCCTAAAACCTTCACTTGGTGCCTCTTAGCCATCACCCAGGCTCCCTGGCACTGTTTTGAAGCTTCATCTTTTGCCCTCACACCTCTAAATGCATCAGAACATAGCAGTCAAATTAGATGAATTTCATACGCTCAAGTATATTCCCTCCCTTCGTTAGTCAGAGTGCCTAGAGAAGAAAGAATAAAAAAGCCGTGAACCCACCACCCAGCCAAAGCCGTGTCCTTACGTTTTGTGTATTTGCTTCACGCTGTTTGAAGTGGGAAGACAAGGCAGCCCTGCTTCCTCTGCCGGGGTTTTTGGCAGTGCTGTGGCCCCCCCACACCCCCCAGTGCCTCTCCTGCATGGCAGCTGGCAGAGCTCCTCCAGGGTCCGTGCAGACAGGGCTGCCTTCCCATCCTCCTCCAGGGCCTCTTACATCTGCCTTACACAGCTAGTCCCCAACTTAGGAAAGGGTTCCGTTCCAACAGCTCTATCGTGAGGCAGTCCTGAGTCGAATACCTCTCTGTTTTTTCTTTCACTTTCATTATTGCCTTTTATTGTCAGTATCCTTATAAATCATTACATTGAACTTCTGTAAGTGAAATCTGAGAATGATAACGTCCTGTTTTGGTTACCTAGTGCTGCTCCAACAGAAATACCACAAATGGGATGGCTTTAACAAATAGGAGTTTATTGTCTTACAATTCTGGAAGCTAGAAGATGCCAGGCTCTAGGGCCGAGGTGAAAGCCCCTTAACCTTGGGGTTCAGCTCTGCCTCCTGCTCCCGGCCCACTGAAGCTGGAGGCTATTCTTCACTCAGATAGCTGCTGGTTGCTGAGACTGACAAACACAAGGATGACAAGTAAAAAGGCACAGTCCAAATGTTAGCAAACAACATGGCAGGCCACTGATTCAAGTCCAGAAGAAGTCCCAGGATTGGCACGTCATGGCAGGCTGTTGAATAGATGACTTGGCTGTATGCAGGGATCAAATGTGCCCAAAAGCACAGAGTTGCTTCTTCCATACTGGAAGCAGCCCCCATCCCTAAAACAGCCTCTCAGCTGCTCCGGTAGATTCCACCATGGAGTTAATTACCAGTCTCACCACGGGAAATAACCACATCCTGCTGCCCTGCCACTCAACCAGGCCCAGCCAAGTTGACAACAACGTTAAGTACCCCACGTCCACAAAGTGACATGCCACAGTGTACGCTGTACGTAGTTCATACCATACCAGTAAGATGTGGAGTGGGTGGAGTGTGCAGGTGCGACTCACAGTCACTCTTACCTTGTGAGTCAGAGACTCCTTCCTGCCTCTTTTCTCCTGCTCTTTAGTGACCTTGCTCTTCTTTTTTCTGTCTCTGGAAAGGCCTTGTCCTGGTAAGCACTTCCTGTTTGTCTCCTTGAATGTAATAAACAAAGGCTGACAGATCAGATGACAGTGTCACAGGCAGAAACAAAACCTGTTAAATGGTAAAAATAAAATTCCTGAGGCTTTAATAAACATGTCACTCACTCTACAAGGTAAATTAAGGTTAAGTTCCTACCTGGTCAGGGGCTTGTTTAATCTGATTACCTCAGAGTAAAATTTTGGTAGAATGATTTGAGAGTCCCATAATTTTTTTTCCTGTGGCCATGTAGTGGTCTATGTCTCTTCTTCCTCCTCTTTCTCCTCCTCCCTCCCCCCCACATACATAGACACCTTTGGAGATACAAAAAGCACGCTTAGCTCGACCCTTGTCTGGGATCAGGTCTGGCAGGCTCATGCGGCCAGTGCGCTTCTCCTCCCCTTCCACAAGAGCCAATCCCTGCAGCTCATTGGAGGACAAACACAGCAAAGGAGATGAGGGTATTTTTCTCACACTTCAGTTCTGAACGGGCTCCTGACAGTCTTACGCCGTGTGTAGGCTGCTTATTTGGAAACAGTATGCACTTGGTATTTTCAGGAATGGGTTTAACGGTCTGTTAAGAAGTTCTGAACATTTTTGCAGCAGGCAGAGTCTGCCTCAGCCCGAGCGCCATAACCTCAGGTCACTGCTTCCTGGGCAGATGAGAGACTGTTCCACCAGCTGCCCCAAAACCCGACAGGAGGGATCTGTGGAGACTAAGCGGTATTTTTACAAGAAAAGATTTGGGCTGACTGTAATTACGTAACTGAAAGTCTGAAAATGACGGGAGATTGCCTTATAAATGACCGTGGAGTCACGCATCACGGCGTTCTACCTGGGAAGCGCACGGTTTATTAGCACACAAAGCCAGGTTCACATTTCGCTAGCCCTCGAGTTTGGAGAAGTGCAGCCGTGTTGGGAAGTCAGTAAGGAAAGCGTTAGGCGGGGCCTGGCTGGCCCCTTGGCCTCGAAGCCAGCTGAGGGCCCTGGGGTGGAGGAGCCACTGCCGTGTGCACAGCCCTGTCTGTCTGTCCACCCCCGGAGGTGATGCTACGCGGGAGTTCGGGACGGTGATCCGAGTACTTAGGCCCCTGCTGGGCGCGTCACACATTCTGCTTTGCCCCTGTCAATCCCCTTGGGGCCAAAAGCACAAACTTGGTTCCACAGCGGTTTCTGGGGGCATTGTCCCCTTCCTTTAGGGGCTGCAGGACTGCGTCTGTGTTCTCCCCTGGCACGCCCGGTAAGGCTGAGCCTGCCAGCGTTCGGGTCGGTCACTCCAGCGCACGCCTGCCCTCACTGTGCCCTCGTCTTGTCTTTGTCCCCACGCCCATGCAGAGTATATTCAGAAATACGCCACAGAGGAGGCACTGAAGGAGCAGGAGGAGGGCACCGGAGACAGCTCGTCGGAGAGTTCGATGTCTGACTTCTCGGAAGACGAGGCCCAGGACATGGAGTTGTAGTAGGAAGTGCACCTGCTTCCCGGAGAGACTCTTACTTCCTAACCATGAGAAGCAGACTATAATATTCATATTTAAACAAAGCAATTTTTTTTATTACTAAACAAGGTTTTTATGAATAATAGCATTGATATATATATATTATATATCACCCTTTAGATCTTGATTTATTGGTCATTTCTCAACCTAAGGTGCGTAGCATATCCCCACATTCCATTTTGGTAGCAATATGCAGTCCGAGTGCATGCCTTCGTAAGTCCATGGCCAAGGCCGCCTGTGCGTTCCTGAACCGGCAAACGAAATAGCCGCTCCGATGGGTAGACGTTAGTAACCATCTCCTTTTATTGATGGTTCCAAAGAAGCAAACCAAACCAACCAGCTCTTGGACGTGAAGATAGAATAGTGCTTTTTCCAACTGGAAAGGAGCAGACTGGGGAGGAAGGGGGCCCACCGTGGAGGAGCCAGAGCCACGCCTTCTGTTCATGCTGGTAGCCCCATTTCTGTGGAGAACAGGATACAACAGGGAGCTAATCGGAGTATTGAAACCTAAAACCATTTTTTGGACTGGGATTTTAAGTACATTTTTATATGTAGATTCCTGCCCTTCAAGCTTCTGGGCCTGCAGCCACAAGTGCTCTGCTTTGGGAGAACCCTTTGAAAGTGTTTCTGAACCTGATCCTTGTGCTTGGGGGTGGAGCTTTCTAAAAGGACAGGACAGGAGAAGAGTGACCAGGAGGAGGCTTCCGTTGACCCAGAACACAGCTGACTGCCTGTCCTCCTGTTGGGCTGGTGTGAGTGCGTCCCTGCACTAAGAGCTTTAAGGGTGAGGGGTTTTTTTGGGGTGGAGGGGAGAAGTGTGCACTGTGCTTAGACAGGCTGCCAGTGTCCGCTTCATCCACCAAGAGACAGGCTCTTCCTCACTCGGGAGGCCACCAGCCCTGGGAAGACGGCCACTGTGACTGGGCCCCCGGGCGCTCCCATTCATGCTTGGTTTCTGTTCCCCCTTTTTCTGCCGCCCGCCTGGCAGCAGCCTGGCCACCATCTGCTTGTGGGAGTGGGAAATGGGTGTTTTAGACCCAACACACATTTTAAATTTAAATTGAATGCTAATTGGAACAAATAAAGGTTCATAGACCTAAAGTGGGAAACACAAACAGGTTCCTTCAGGGTGACCGGCTAGGAGAGAGGGCTCAGAGCCATGACGTGGCAGAACAGGTTTGGAAGGAAGGAATTTTTTCCTGTGTTTATGTCGAGAGGAAATCAGAGCGTCGAAAGTGCCCGCTGATCAAATGTGCACTCAGCTAACTGTATGTCCAGGTTGCTGGCAAGTGTCTCTCAGATCCGAGTGTCGCCCGCCGGATTTGGGGGCTAACTGGGAGACACGTCAGAGCGTAACCTTGTATTCTTATTTGCCGCAGCCAGTAGGACAGAATTAGCTAGTCCTGAAACCTCCTGAAGACAATTTTGTGAACGTCCCACCGAGAGAGTTTTTCTTTTTGGTGTGTTTTAGTTTAGAAGAAGTGCTGTATTCCACAAGGTTTGAGTCAGTGAGGTTGGAAGAATACCTCCCCCCCCCCCTTTTTTTAATTGTTATTATTACTCAAAAAGCACAATCAGTCTTTTCTTTGAAAATCTATATAAAGGGCAACTTGCTTTTAGCATGATTATTTTCCTAAATAAAAGAAATAATTTACTTATTTTATGTTAATTACGGGCATGAAGCAAAACAAAAGGTTTTCTTTAAAAAAATGAAAGTGCCGTTCTGTAGGGCTGTGGTTAGTTAGCGTGCGAGTTACCTGTGTAGCATTTGTGGCTTGTTGGAAGGGTAGTATGAACTCTTGGACATGTAACGGTGTACCTTTAACTCTTACTAGCACGTTGTCTTCTCATACTGTGGGGGAGGGAGGGTCTCTGCTGGCGCTGTCTGACCCGCTTACCTGCTGAATTAGCAGTCTGCTTGCGCTCTAACCTTTATTGTAGGTGCTACTTAGGGTAGGCTTGAAGTACTTGGTGGTGATTCAGTTCAAACAATAAAAAATTGTATTTTTTCAATATTGCACAAGCAATAGTGTTCTAATTACCTTTCAAAAAAATACTGTCCAGAAATAATTGCTTTTCATCTTGTCAAAAACTAATTGGCGGCTCTGAGCCTAGTGTAGGGCAGGTGTGGGAACGTGAGCAGTGACACGGCTCTGCTCCGCAACCGGTTCGCCCAGGAGGAGGGACCGTCTACCCGCATGGAGAACGCCGCACCACATACAGACGGGCGGATGGGCGGTGCAGAACGCCCCAGAGTAAGGCGAGGGCAGGGGTGCAGCTGCAGCTGTGTGTGAGCGCGCGAGCGTGTGTGCGCGTGCCCGTGCATGTGGTGAAGGTATGGTTAGGCTTCCTACATGAGCCGTGCAAGTCCTGCAGTTGCTATTCCAGTAACATCCGACCGTCTCATCTGTGCCAAGTGGTCCTTCCTGGCCACTCACCTTGGCCCCATGCATGTTTTTGGCTGGGTGGGGCTTTTTCTCTCCGCTGGGAACTTGACTTTTGGTAAGTGGAGCAGCGTGTCCTTTTTAGGCTACCTCTGCCCCTTCCCTGCACCTGGGAAAGATGGGCGTCGGAGCCCATGCTCACAGGTACAGTGGCAGCTGGAGGAAAGCCTGGCTGGTGAGTCAGGACCAGCAAAACCAGTCTTTGTTCAAACGACTGAGCTCAAACTCTGGCCAAACACCAAGGAGAGCAAGATGATGACCCCAGCAGAACAGCATTTAATGGGCTCTCGCCTTGCTCTGGGAGCCCCAGCCCTGGGCCTTGGGGGCCGCCTTTAGTGGTAGCTGACCTCCAGGCTGGCATCTTCGCTCTCAGGCAGCCTCCACAATGGGGCTTGAGGTTACTGCGTGGCTCACGGAGCCTTTTCTGCCAGCGAGGTGGCTATCACAAGTTGCCACCTCTGTCTCCTGTCCCTAACATTTCTCTTCCACTTCAGAAGCTGTTGGAATTGCCAGCTGGCTGCTCTCACCTCCTGAGGAGTGTCTTCCTCAAAGGTGTTTTTCCTCAAAAGGCTCCCTGAAGCCTCAGCTGGCCATAGACTGACACTCACTCGTTATTAAGCTCCTGTGGCGGGAAGGAGGAGCCCTGGTGGTGCAGTGGTTATGAGCTCAGCTGTTAACCACAAGGTCGGCAGTTGGAACCCACCAGCGGCTCCGAGGGGTTAAGATGTGGCGGTCTGCTCCCATGAGAATCCCAGCCGGGGAGACCCTACGGGGCAGTTCTACTCTGCCTCTAGGGTCGCTGTGAGTCGGAACCCACTCAGGCGGCCTAAACTTAGAATTTGATGGGGAAAGTTGGGCTGAGGTCCATGGAAGGTCTGCCAGCCACAGCAGGCAGCTTCCAGAAACCACGTTTCTGGAAAACTAGTGTTTGATTTTAAAGGGTGTGTGACCCTTCTGTGTTTTAGGGATTCAGAAAAGTGAAAAACACTGATGAAAGTTAGCAAGTGTCTTCATTTCCTCAATTTTCACAGCCTTGTTGCCTGAAATCATACCATTTCTGATTGGACACAGAGAATTGCATTTCTTTGGTCGGAATCTGTGTTCCTGTTTTCTCTGGGCACCGAATACCAGGCCACTCCATTAGGGCCTGGGTGGGGTGGGGGCAGGCTAATAGCCTTCAGGAGCGCAGGTTCTCCGCTCTCCCGAGGACGGGCCTGGGAAGAAATGGCCGGGATTCCTGAGTGTATTTGGTACATTGTGTGATACTTGAAGAGAGAAAAAGGGATGTACAAGCCCTTAATTGAAACTGAAGCTTTTCACCGCTTTTCCCACCTTTCTCCTCCCCTCCACCTTCTTTCTTGCATTGTGATGATCTAGTGGGCACTTCTGTCAACAGGACAAATGCCTCCTCTGGTTATAACCTCTTAATAGTTGTGTATAATGAAAACTGTAAACTTTTTTAAAATAAAATGTGTATATACCTTGGCAAGTGACTGGACCTTGATCAATAAGATTAATAGCCCCCTGATTACTTTTGGTTTTTAAAGAGACACCCTCACCTCCCATCCCCTCCCTGTTTATCTGGCTTCTGAGTGCGGCAGACCTGGGCTCTTCTGACAGAGAAGCTTTTAGAAAGCTGATAGAAGCTCTTGGAAGGTAATTTGGAAAAGAAGTGTCTCCCTTAGACACTGTTACCTAACAGCCCTCCCCCCAGAGTCCTGTCCTCACCTGCAGCCCAGGAGACTGCTGCCTCTTAACACAGGGCTGGGAGGCTGCCTCTCCGGGGTCTTGAAAAGCCCTCTCCTGGAGGCCTTAGGCCTGGAGTCTCCCTCGGTCCCCAGGCCATCAGCCCGCCTGGCATCCCTGTTGCTGATTTCTCTCCAGCTCAGACGTAGACCCTGTGGATGCTGAGCGAAGGAGACCCACGTGGGCTGGAGTTGACACGTGGTGCCGCTTTCTGCCAGGGCGATCTGCCTGCACACGGGTGCTGCCTGAGCCAAGTGCCAGCCTGAACCGCGAGGGGGCCCTGGGCCGTGAAGCTGATGGCTGGGTTGGACCAGCTTCAGGCAGCAGCATTTTAAATTCTTGTAAAGCATTTGCCCACAGTGGCCACCAGAGGGCGATGTTGACCTGCCAGTCTCCAGTGGACTTGATTTTTGTTAGGCCTTAAGACAAAAGCAATAGTTTTCCTTTGGACAAATGTCTTCACTTTCCCAACTCTCTTCTGTTTTCTCCTTGCTCATTTCCCCCCAGACTTCTGCACCCCCTCCGTCTGATGCATTCTCCTCCAGTAGACCTAGCACAGGCCACCTGGGAGTGAGGGACCTGTGTCTGTCTGCCTGCCACCTCATTCCCACAGCAAGGAAAGCCTCAGGTTACCTTGACCCCAGTGCTTAGACACAAGACATCCAACACGTTTTCTGCCAGTGGTCCTCAGTAAGCCCTCAGGCCAGGGTGTAGGGCGATAAAGGAATATTAGGGCTGTAAGTTCATGTCCTGCTTTTTGCCTGATGAGCTGGG